GGGGGCAGTTAGGGGCGATAAGGCAGGCAGGCAGTTGAGCAGTTAGGAACCAGCGGTCCCGTATTGTGAGAGGGATGTCTGACTGCCGGTTTAGGCCTGATCCTAGGGACTGGGCCTAAACTGACTGAGGGGACTCCCTCCCACCCCCCGCACAAAATTTGTGCACCGGGCCTCTAGTATGCTAAGGCCGCTCAACTGCTCGCTAAGATGTGCACTGACCACCGGGGGCAGACGCTCCGACCTGTAGGTTAGCTTGCTGCTGGGCCAATCGGGACTGAGCGAGATGGGCCGGACATGCCCCGAAGCCCTCCTGCGGTCCCTCCCCGGCTGGCCAACTTTCCGCATCCCTCCCTGGCTTGCTGGCCCCGATCGGTCCCGATTGGGACTGGGCGAGACTGGGCCAGATGGGGCCAGACATGCCCTGGAGCCCTCCCACGGTCCCTCCCCAGCCCCGATCATGCACTGGTGGGGTCCCTTGGCCTGGCCTGCACTCTCGCAATCTGGAACCCCTCGGGGATGTCAGAGAGCTGGTTTCGGCCTGATCCTACAGGCCACTCCCCTCGGGAGGATGCCAGACGCAGGGCTCATGGCTGTTGAGCGCTGCTGGGGCAGCCTGAGCCTCTCCTGATCAGGACTGATTGGGCGGGAGCCCGCGGCAGGCGCAGTGGGGCTGGGATGAGTGGGAGTGGCAGGTAGGAGCTGCAGGTGGCGTTGGACTGTGGGTTTCGGCCTGATCCCCGCAGACCACCCAGAGGGACCCCACCCATGCACGAATTCGTGCACCGGACCTCTAGTTGCTAGATAAAAACCTACTTTTTGATTGGGATTGCATTGAGTCTATAGATCAATATGGAGAGAATCTTAAAAATATTGTCTTATAAAACATAGAGTAATATATCTCCATTAATTTAGGTTATTCATTTTTTCTGTGGTGTTTTGTTATTTACAGTGTAGAGATCTTGTGCATCTTTCACTAAATTTATTCCTACATTATCTTTCCACAGAGAAGAGGATTAGACATGTTATTAACTCTATTTCCCTTCTTGGGAAAATCACTAAACTTCTGAGCTTCCACTTCTTTTTTTTTAATATATTTTATTTGATTTTTTACAGAAAGGAAGGGAGAGAGATAGTTAGAAACATCGATGAGAGAGAAACATCGATCAGCTGCCTCCTGCATACCTCCTACTGGGGATGTGCCTGCAACCAAGGTACATGCCCTTGACCGAAATCGAACTTGAGACCTTTCAGTCCGCAGGCCGACGCTCTATCCACTGAGCTAAACCGGTTAGGGCCCATTTCTTTTTTTAAAATATTTTTTTATTGATTTCAGAGAGGAAGGGAGAGGGAGGGAGAGAGTGATAGAAACATCAGTGATGAAAGAGAATCATTGACTGGCTGCCTCCTGTATGCTCCCCACTGGGGATGGAGCCTGAAACTCGGCGTGTACTCTGACTGGGAATTGAACAGGGACCTCCTGGTTCATGGTCGATGCTCAACCACTGAGCCACACCAGCCAGGCCTGGGCTTCCATTTCTTATTGTAAAATGGGGTTAATAGTATCTTGTTCTATGTGTTTAATTAGATGTACATGTTTATTGCATAGCACTTTGCCTGGTGGCTAGTAAGAGCTCAATTAAACTCATATTATCACTGAAGATCCACATAATACTCAGAATCTAGCAATTTGTGGGCCATTGAATATTATTTACTCCTGAAAAGGAGAAGAAAATGAAGGAAATCCATTTAATTTAGAATGCATTATTAAGTATTATTAGCAGTTTTTCCTATGTCTTTTTGGTGGTCTTTTTAAAAATATATTTTTATTGATTTCAGAGAGGAAGAGAAAGATAGAAACATCAATAATGAGAGAGAATCATTGATCGGCCACCACCTCCACGCCCCCTACTGGAGATCGAGCCCGCAACCTGGGCATGTGCCCTTGACCGAAATTGAACCGGGGACCCTTCAGTCCGCAGGCAGACGCTCTATCCACTGAACCAAACCAGCTAGGGCTTTTTGGTGGTTTTTAAATTCGAGAGGAAAAACTAGAGTTACTGACTTTAAATCGTCTAGGTTGTTTTCCTCTAAGACAAATATTATTTGTTGATTTCAGTCAGATTTTCAAGAATTGCCAGTCAGAATTTCAGAACTAATTTACTATTTAAAATGGAATAATATTGGGAGGTTCTTATTCCAACTACCTCTTTTTAAATCTCTTAATCTAGTTAGGAATGGTAGTAATTTATTGTAAAAGTGGCCATGTTCTTATTCACTATCTTCATTCTTGTAGGGCACTTTGAGTCACTGGACCTTGCGGAATATGCTAAGAAGCAGCCATGGTGGCGCAAGCTGTTCGGGCAGGAAACTGGGCCCTCAGCTGAAAAATACAGCGTTGCAACACAGCTGTTAATCGGAGGTGTCACTGGGTGGTGAGTGATGTGAAAGGTGGCCGGTGTCTGTTTACACGCTTTAATATCGTGGTGATAGGAATCACCTCCTTTAGCCAATAAGAGCACGTTGGCTTCTGTGAAATCGATCACTTAATGTGTAGCATTTATCAAAACATGTTAAAGTGTGATTTAATGGTTACACAAAGTATTTACTACATGCCATGTAATCATTTCCTTCTCACAACTCTGAAATCAGTAGTTATTATTTATCCTCATGTCCCCCAGTTCTAGTGAGAAGTAATTGACATATATCACTATATAAGTTTAAGGTGTATAGCGTGATGCCTTGATTTACATATATTGTGAAATGATTACCACAGTAGGTATGGTTAACATCCATTACTTTATATAGATACAATAAAAAAGAAGAAAAAGTCTCCTTGTGATGAGAACTCTTAGGATTGGCTCTCTTAATAACTCTCCTATTTATCATACAGCGGTGTTAACTCTAGTCATCATGTACTTTACATCCCTGGTACTTATTTGTCTTATAACTACAAGTTAGTATCTTTGGACCGCCTTCTTCCAATTCCCCCTCCCCCTGCTCTCTATCTTTTTCTTTTTTCTTTCTTTTTTTTTTTGTTAATCCTCACCCCAGGATATTTTTCCCCCATTGATTTTTTTTCTTTTTTAAAAAATATTTTTATTGATTTCAGAGAGGAAGGGTGAGGGAGATAGAGATAGAAGCATCAATGATGAGAGGGAATCATTGATCGGCTGCCTCCTGCACGTTGGACCGAGCCCGCAACTGAGGCATGTGCTCCCGACCAGAATTGAACCTGGGACCCTTCGGTCTGCAGGCCAACGCTCTATCCACTGAGCCAAACCGGCTAGGGCTCCTGCATTGATTTTTTAGAGAGAGTGGAAGGGAGGGGGAGAAACAGAGAGAGAGAAACATCGATGTGAGACACATCGATTGGCTGCCTCCCCCATGTGCCCTGACTGGGGCAGGGATCGAGCCTGCAACCCAGGTACGTGCCCTTGACTGAAATCGAACCCACGGCCCTTCAGTCAGTGGGCTGACACTAACCACTGAGCAGCCAGGTAGGGCTCTATTTTTCTAGGATTCCACATATAAAGGAGATCGTACAGTATTTGTTTTTCTCTGTCTGACTTATTTCACTTAGCATAATGCCCTGTAGGTCCATCCATGTTGTTGTAAATGGTAAGATTTTCTCAAATTTTTAAGGCTAAATGATATTTCATATCATATATATATGATATATATATCATTTCATATATATAATATTTTAAATATTTCATTATATATGTATATATATATCATAGCTTTTTGTGTATTTAACAGCCTGTCGACTTGTCTGATGGTGGTTTGGTTTTTGTAGGTGCACAGGTTTCATATTCCAGAAGGTTGGAAAATTGGCTGCAACAGCTGTGGGAGGAGGATTTTTTCTCCTTCAGGTCTGTATGTGAAATATTCCTAGGTGTTTGGAAATTCTGCTTGCCCATTAGGGATGTGGTATGAGGAGCTGTAATGTAACCCTGTCAATATTACACTAGAATAGTCTTTGCACTTGTATACATGTACTATTTGAAATGCCAGCGACCTTTGAGTCAGACTTCATCAATTACTAGTTGCATTTTATTTTCTCACTTATAATATGGGGATATAAGTACCTATTTCTCTCTCTCACTCTAACCACGGAAATGCCACCAGCCAGGGCTCTAACTTAAAACCTTTTAGAGAGGGGTAAGTGTATAAATAAAGTAAAAGAATTGCCAGGAGTCATTGAAGGGCTGTCTATTGAATTCTGGTGCCAGGCATAGGGCCTTGCACATAGGGTGGATGCCAAGTAGATGTTGAGTGAATATCGTTGTCATACAAAGTCCTGGATGGCAAATGTCTCAAAAAATGGAGTCAGAAGGGTTTTTGATAAAGCACTTCAGTGATTTATCCTGACAAAAAGAAATAATGAGCCTGTGTTTCCTATTTCTTGCTGTTGTTGAAACTAGATTGCAAACCACACTGGCTACATCAAAATTGACTGGCAACGGGTAGAGAAGGACATGAAGAAGGCCAAGGAACAGTTGAAGATCCGCAAGAGCAACCACTTACCTACAGAGGTGAAAAGCAAAGCCGAGGAGGTGCGACTGGTTTTATTTATGTGAAGTGTGTGAAGGGTGCAGACAGTTTTGTGTGTCCAAAAATGGGCTTAGACATCTATTTGTCAACTTTGGATGGAATAGCTTCACCTCAGACATTTTTTTAAAATATATATTTTTATTGATTTCAGAGAGGAAGGGAGAGAGAGAAAGATAAACATTAATGCTGAGCAAGAATCATTGATCGGCTGCCTCCTACACACCTAAACTGGGGATCGAGCCCACAGCCTGGGCATGTGCCCTGACCGGGAATTGAACCGTGACCTCCTTGTTCATAGGTCGATGTTCAACCACTGAGCCACACTGGCTGGGCTCAGGCATTTCTTTTAATCCTCACCCGGGGACAT